CCACTACTTCATACAGCACAGACAGGACAGGAGGTCCTGAGGAGTGCCAGTAAATCCTGGCATAAAAGAAGTAATATATTGCATGGCAGAACGACAGCAAAGTTGAAACCTTTTTTCACTGTTGCATCTTCATTCTTTATATCAATTCCTCTTGATAGTACTGTATAAACATTTTAATTACAATAGATTTCTTCCATAAAAAACTTATAATATGTTGTTGAAATTAAATAAATTTGTTTATATTATTATTATGGTTCTTTTATAAAATTTGATCAAATTGAACAACCAATCTTAAAATACAAACATTTATGGAAGATTTTATGAACCTTGAAGAGGCATATCTCTCAATGTGTTAGGCCTATAATCACCATTTTGGTCTTAAATTGTGAGTAATTTAATGCAGTTTCAAAGTAATTATGGTTGTTTTAATGAAAAATAACGATAAAGTTATGCTTAAGGGTTAACGTTAGCCAAATTAAAAAAAAATCAAAATTTGGTAATTTTAGCCGTTGTTTGCGGAGTCATATCTTGAAAACTATTAGGCCTGTAATAACCGTTTTGGTCTTATATGATAGGTAATGTAATATACTTTAAAAATGGTTATGGTTGTTCTTTATGAAAAAGTGATGCTTCAGGGTCAAAATCGGACAAACGTAAAAATAGTGCGTAATTCTGCCGATTTTTAAGCTTTTTGGAGGTGATCCGGAAGGTCGCCGAGGTCGAAAATTTGGATTTAGCATCTCGGTACTATTACAAACAACATAAAAAAAAGAAACCTACTACCCCATTTCATGCAACGTAAAATGCGTTAGGTTACTGGATTATATGTTTTGCAGACACATCCTTCTTGTTATCAGATGTAGATACCGTAGACTTCTTTTTAAGTAGACAATCAGGAACCTTATGCCCTTTTTGTTTACACTTAAAACAAAATATCTTAGTAACCTGCTTTTGATTCTGATTACTCTGCCCTTGTTTTTCTGTTTTAACCCTTGTACCCGTGGGTTTTGAAACATATAAAGCAGTTTTAAGTAACTCCACGTTATCACGCTGCTCTATAGTGCGAAGCTTTTCAACTAGTGTTTTTATTGTTCTATCCTTAGATGGCATAGCTTCCCATACATTTCTAAATTCACAAAAGCTTGGGCCCAAAGTAGATGAAATTCTTGCAATTAAAACCCTATCACTAAGCTTTGATTCCTTTTGTTTCTCAAGTGCATCATTTAATTCGGAAAAATGTTTTTTAAGCTTTGCAACATGGGTAGCTATGTCCTCATTAGGATCCCGATCCCACCTAAAGAACTCTTCTAGCAAACGATCTAGCCTTTGTTCACTAGACTGTTCATACACAGATATTAAACAATCCCAAACTTTTTTAGAAGTCGAGCAAGTCAAAACCAGTGTACATGGTTCATCCCCTAGAGATGACATCAGGTATAACGTAGCAGAAGCATCTTTTCTGTCCTAATCTGCAATAGCATTTTGCTCAGATCCAGAGAGATGTTAGTAATAGGTCTTACTTCAGATCCCATTATGAAACTCAACAAGCCTTGTTGTCTTAACAACAACTGGATAAGCATCTTCCATTTAGTCCAATTACTTGCACCCAAAAGTTTCTCTATACATATCTTTTCATTTGAATTTGCCATAATGTCTAACCAATTTTATACTTGTTCCAAGAAAAAAAATCAACAGTTACAATGGCAAAACAATGAAGAAAAATATTATATAGCTTCTTAAAAAGTAATTTTAAAAAATACCTTGTTTGTAGAATAGCCCATAACCTATTGATACGTACTTGTCCAAGGCATTCTTTCTCTTGATTACTTATAAGAATAAACTTTTAAATTAATGAGAAACAAATTATATTAAAGAAAGGAATTCACACTTTTATTTTGATCACACAAACATAAACATGAACACAGCTTAATATAAAAAGTAAAACATATGATATTGAAACAATGTACATTTAAACAGTTCAGAGGCAAAATTGTCAATGTTCCAATAAAAAGTAACCCTAAACAGTGATTAGAACTAAAAAGAAATATATGCTTTTAATATATTTTGTATCACCGATTAAATGAGCTTACTTCCACTATTTTAAAAGTAGGCCTAACCTATTTTTTTGTATTTGAGAAAAATGTAATGCAAAGTTAAATTTTCCTTTAAGTTTTTAACATTTAGGTTTTTATGAGTTGGAGATTCGTAATGATCACGAGCACATTCCTGTATTTATGTATTGTACTTAAATAATTAAAGTTAAATGAAATGAAATGAAATGAAATCAGCACAACAGAACACAACAGAAGTAACATAAATCGGGGTTTTTGCTGTCACTTCTTTTAATTTTTTCATTTAGGAGATAGGCCTACTATTTTTTTTTTAATATATAATTATATTATCTTTATATTTTAAATAATATTTTGTACTATAATTGGTCCAAACGACTTCTGCGATCGGGGCAAAAATGAACGATATTGTACTCGGTGAAGACGAAATCGTGTTTGCAGGGTCGTAATATCCGTCTCCCGCGGTCGCGTGGGTTATCTCCGAGACCGAGGATAAATCGTTCCTATATTTACGGTGAAATAGTGAACATCTTTCGCGGAGGCAGGGATATATTCTACATGAAGAAGTCGTTAACATCTCCCGTGAACAACATTATCGTCCCCCGCGATCGCGGCAAAATCATGAACACAGAACATCTTTTGCGGTTGCGAGACCTTATTATCGTCATTCCCGGATCGCGATCCCTGGGAGTCGTGAATTTTGATCGCGCGATCTTTGCAGACGCTTGCGGCGATTGTGAGAGCAGATTATCTATAATATTAAAACGAAACAGTGTTTTTTTATTTCACGATTCTGAATCAACCACTCGACGGATTTTCATGATTTTTGTGTTGAAAGAAAGATAATTATGAGAACTAGGGAATGTCTAAGCCATAAATTTAGTTTAGGGTCCCAGTTTTTTAGAAATTAAGTTTTAATTTTTAAAAAGTCTAGCAGCCGACGCTAAGATTCTAAACTAGCTTTTGGCATAAAATAATTTGCTTAACATAACAGCTGTAAACATTCAGCTTTTGTGTCGCAAATTCATCATTTGGATAAAAATGTAAAGACATACTTAGGGTTGACTTATTTATACTATGTGTAATGCAAATCATTGATACGTTCAATTCATCTGTAAGAGGATGACAGATTAATTAAATTATACATAGTGAAATACTAGGATGTTCAAATTATTTTTTTAAAGCAATCTTTATAATCTTCGATTTGTTTTAGGGCAATATAATTTTATTTAACTAACAGCTGATTAAATATAAACTATGGAACTATGAGGTTATTTTATTTACTCTTATTTTATCATAGATTATAGGAAATAAGTAAGATTAGTAGAGATAATTAGACCACAGTTTAAAATAGTTTAGACCAAAATTAATTAAACCACAGTACAAATCGAGGCTCTGTACACGAGTCTTAATTAAATATAATTTGATTTAACTAACAGCTGATTAAATATAAACTATGGAACTATGAGGTTATTTTATTTACTCTTATCTTATCATAGATTATAGGAAATAAGTAAGATTAGTAGAGATAATTAGACCACAGTTTAAAATAGTTTAGACCAAAATTAATTAAACCACAGTACAAATTGAGGCTCTGTACACGAGTCTTAATTAAAAAGGATAAATGCAAATTATTTTACTATTACGCTTTTCGAGGAAACAATAGAGAAATAACAATGTTTACATGTTTTAATTCTTCATGGTAGCGTTTTGTTTACAATTAATGTTTGTCTGCTTTGTTTGGATTAGGCCCGGAAATATTGATGTCATAAAAAGAAGATCAAGAATAATCAGGAATCACAATTTTAAATTACCACCACTATCTCAGCCGAGTTTTATACAAAGATTGAACACAACGTCAACATTGACCTAGGATACTGCAATTAGACAAACCATCTTTTATGAAATCGTGTTCAGTGTGGTTACGTTTGGGGGTGCCTATCAGCGCCGCCAAACGTGAAAATATCACTTTTATTTCAACTATGAATATATTGTAGTTTAAATTAACTAATATGGGAAATTACGATGTACACTTATTCAATGAGGGTGGGTAATTATTAAGGATAGAACTGGATAACGGTATGGATAATAAACATTGACAATTACGTCATTAGCTTTACTAGCGTGTTTACTTTTTATATTCCTGCTACATATGACCAGTTCTTTTAGTAATCGTGAGTTCTTTTTTTTCAAATGAATGTTATTTGAACCAAACAGCTGTTTCAAAACAAACTGTTATTGTTTTTACTTTTCTTTGTTTACACTTATTTATTTAGCAATTAATGCAGTGAAATTGATATAAAGGATAGGTGTGACGATTTATGTATACTGTGAATTTTATTGGATATTATCGTTTTATTTTAGGTCGTTTCTATTCAGACCTACTGGAAATTGTGTATAGTAGTTGTATTGTGGTGATAATAATTATGGAAGAGGCAGGTATGCTATGGAAGGTGGTATCGTTGACTAAGTCTATACACTTCTCAATTGTATATATTGTGGTGGTCTCTCTACAATAATAAGAATTGACACTAAATTTTTTTTATATTAAGTCTGACCATTTCATCATTTTTTAGATGGAATTCACTATTAATGGAAATTCGCTTAGTCTGCAGGTTTGCTGAGGCGGGGGTATTTATATTCATTAGCCTATATTGTTTTAGCAAATTTCCCTACAGGAAAAGAGAGAGGTATACTATTGTTCTATCCAGATGGATTGGTTAGACAGTGATACTGTATATTATTAGGGTTATTTACAAAACTGGTAACCATCCAATAACCTATCTATTATCTGTATTACTCCAGTTGTAATGGTCAGTCGGAGACCACTTTACTGTTTCTTGTTTATGTTCCCAAAAGAAACAAAAAAACAAAAAAAAACATGGTTTGTTCAAATTGCTATGATTGTATTGGTTGTTTGAATTGTTATAGACGGAGAAACAGACCTCAACAAGTCAAGATCCTCTTCCAGACGTTCACTGAAGCCGAGTGAGATAAACTGCACAAGTCCTTGGCTCCCTTCAAAATCGAGGTTTGTAAATTTATGACAAATATACAGGGTGGTAATAAAGTCCGAAGACAGTTAAATATTTTGAAAAATAATGCAGATAGAGCTACAATACTTGGTACAAAGTTACAGAGTAGGTATAATACTTCATTTTGACACATATTCAGTGATCCAAAAACTCTTCAGGGGGACGGCCCACAAGAAAATCTTAAATAGAAGCACAGGTCAATATGCACATCAAATGAAAGGTCTTTTTTTAGTAAAATACAATGCCGCAAACTGCACTTCAAAAGGTTGATCCTGCGCAAAATGGCATCCGTTCAAAGATTTCTTGAATCTGCCATTTGAACGACTGCTATTTTATACTCAGGCGTTCTTTTGAGCTTGAATTTACGGCATTGTAATCTACTAGTGAAGACTTTTAATTTGATGTGCATATCGACCTATGCTTACGTTAACAATTTTCTTCTGATTCCTAAGGCTGTGCCCCCTGAGGAGTAAGCGTATAATAGCAATGCAAATTAAATGAATCTTTGAACAACTGTCATTCTTGGCTCAGTTGTCCATTTGATTTCAAATTTGCAGCATTATATTCTGCTAGTATAGACCTTTAATTTGATTATACATGTCAACCTATGCTTCTATTTAAGATTTCCTTCTGACTCCTTGCGGGACGTCCCCATGATGTGACAGAAAATTAATATTTCCTAAAAAAAAGTAGATTTTTAGGTGTAGTGATGATGTACCAAATCTTATTGATTTATCTGTTGTCATATAGAAAATATTTAACTGTCTTCGGACTTTATTACCACTGTGATTGAAATAAAAACGTGAGCAATGAGCTCTTAGGCCTACCCAGAAATAATTAGCTTCTTGCAAAAGATCGTTTTATATTAAATGAGATTAAAAATAGTTCAATTTTATAATGACTGACTTCAGCTTCTATTATATTTAAAGTAGATTTCCACCGACCTTGTAGTTGTAGAAAGGTGTTCACGGCTGGGGTACCCCACCTGCTGGCGTCATGTCGTCCTGTCCGGGATTGCACTGCACACTTTTTAAAGTCTTTAGAAATAGTTTATGTACACGAAAAAATAACTTAAAACTCACTTCCTGTTATAAAAAAGCAAAAACAAAACGATCTTTTATGGCCTAATGAGGGTTGAATTTGATTGATAATAAAAAATGAAAGGTTATAGCGGTGAGCGTATTGCTATGAAAAAGTGACTTAATGTCGAGAGGAGTAGTAGCGGACTGTGCCGCGGCCGAGCATCGTACAATGGAAAAGTACAAAGGTCGGGAAATTCCATTCTTATCGGCCGGACATGGGTTGAAAGATAAACGGTGAAACAAAAGCTCAGGGCAATGGAAAGTATGCGTTGAAAATAAAAATATGCTATACTAAATGAAATTGATATCTAACAACCACTCTGTATAATGTTGTTGTATGTCTATTTACTTTTTTTTGTGGAATGACATTTTTTCAGGTTTCTGTATGTTTTAATTACCGAGTTCCACTGTATGTAAGTTAAAGTGACTTGCTTATTATTTATAAACTAGTGTGATTGGTGCTCGAAATCGAGCAATTGTCAAGTACCGTTATTATACAGGTGTTATTAAAAACTGCAGTTATAACAATCATAATTTTCGATTTCGATAAGTTTAAAAAACTCAAAGCTTATGTAACTAATTGAAATAGTCACTCTATTAATAACGGGTTGAAATAATAAAAACTTATTGTAAAAATATTTTATCATATTTTAGAAGCCGGCCTTATTTTTTAGTGTTTTATACAAATGTTTCCCGACTTGTAGATGTTACCAGTAAACATTTCTTGCATGTATTCATTTGATCTGACATTAGGTAGGGTTTCTTTACCACTGTGACAACATGATTTGTATATTCTTCATTATTTTAGCAAATTTCCCCTATAGGGAATATTAGCAAATTTCCCCTATAGGGAATTTTAGCGAATTTCCCCTATAGGGAATATGAGCGAATTTCCCCTATAGGGAATATTAGCGAATTTCCCCTATAGGGAATATTAGCAAATTTCCCCTATAGGGAATATTAGCGAATTTCCCCTATAGCGAATATTAGCGAATTTCCCCTATAGGGAATAAACTATTACCGTAGTACTCATGGTAAGACCTGGACCCGGGACCGAATAACTTTTTCGTTTTGAGGTCCCTAGAGGCAAAAAACACCATCCGTTCAAATTCATAATATACTCCATATATATATAATCCATATCAAGTGATCCAATGAGAGTTGCTTGACCATTTTTAATATTTTTTATTTTTTAATATATTGTTCCCTCATGTTTTGGAAATTCAAAAATGATTTTATTAAATTTTTATCCCTTCCAATTTTTTTGTAGCGGCCATTTTTGTCTTGCAGCGCACGGTGATTTTTGAGTTTGCAGACGTTAACGTAAAAGAAAATATCTTTTTACCTACTTAAGTTACACAAATGCAACCAAATTCACTTTGTTCATCATTTTCCCATCTTTAATTTTGGTTATGATCATAATCAGCCTAATTTGTACCCACATGGGTGAAAAAAATGTTTAAAAACAAGCAACGGAAACGAATAAATTTCACTTTTTGAAGCCTATTTTTTCCATGAAGGATTTGTAAATTACTGATAATATTTTTTATTCAATTACATATACTAGTGTATTCTATGTAGCTAGAGTTATAACACTGATATGTGTGTCCTTTAATTTTGGCAATTTTTTGAAAATATAGATTTTTCAATTTTCGTAAAGTTTGGAGCTTAATATCTCTGATGGGACATGGGATTAAAATTTGATTTTTTCACAGGATGTTCTTCTGTATATGAGGAAACTACAGTAAAAGATTTATCATTGATATTTTACTGTGGTAAAAGTTATGAATTTTTGGAAACGGTAAGAAATTGCATAGTGTTTGGTGTAGTAGCGACTAGTCTACAGGTTAAATACTGACCTTTATTGCTTCAAAAGGCAGACAATTTACTACTTTTAAATAGATAACAAATAATACTTTACACCTTAAACTATAATATTTTAAATATAACAAATATTATTAGAAATTTTATTTGTTTAAAAAATTTAAAATCGTATAAATGTTAAGTAGGACGCGTTGCAGAAAGTCAACAGTCCCGGAAGGTCAAATAATTTATACCTGTGCCGCTAGGTCAAAAACTACAATGTTTGCAGTGTCTGTAGATCAAAAATCCCAGTAAGTCAAATAGTACAGTCCGAGCTAAAAACGTGGTCTATGTTAAAGCAATTGACTTATTGGGAATTTGACCTAATGCAACAGTTTTAATATAACGAAATAAGATAAAATATAAGTTCAGTTTCGCTGAGTCAACAGTGCCGGAAGGTCAAAAGTATAATCTGTTAAAAACAGCGATAGTCCTCTCGACGCATGACTTCAATAATTTCGTGTTTTGGTGTACTTAAAGTTGTGCTAAAATTTTGAAAATTGGCACAGAGCTTCTTGGTTAGTCCTACTCGATGACTATTTTGTTGGAACTTTAAACTATTTACCGATCTAATTAATAAAAATTAAGATGTATGGTGAAATAGTTTTAAATCGTGATTTCTAACATGAAAAAGTTAGCATGCGAGATTTTTGTTTGTTTTTGGGTTAGAGAGGTTTTGTCTGTGGCAAAAGTGTAGCCAAAAGTGTGATGCGTAAATTAAATTTTTTTGAATTTTTTACAATCAGTGGTTCAATAGATAAGTTGGGTTGAAGAGGACGGCAAATTTAGCGTTTCGCAACGCATGGAAAGAACTACATCGTACGATGCGACTGCTGAGTGGACTTTTAATTTACAGTTCTAAGAACAAGAAAAAGATGAATATACAGATCACCAGTACATTAATATTATTTATAATAAAACATCTTTCTGTATTACCAGCTTACATTTTTCACTTATAAGAATACATCATAAACAGGGTGTTAAAAATAAGCGGGGAGATACTTTACCTAGTAAATCCTTGGGTCAAAATAAATAGAAAATCAAGGATAACATTTTTTCCAAAATCGTTTCGTTAACCAGATATCCACCATTTTGTATTTTTTACATACAAATATTTATATTTGCACTTTTCCAACCGATGTTTATGAAACTTGGTATGTATGTTAAGGTAGGAGAGACCCATGTTATAAAAAAAAGATTCATCTCGATTCACCCTAAAATTTCAAAATTTAACACTTAACTACAATATAATATACTTTACTACACCACAATATTTACGTATCACCAAAAATAAAATAAAATGTTAACATTCTTAAAATCCAAAGTAAATCGTTATAATCTTTCTTTTTTGAAAAATATATTTAAAAAAAAGGCGTGGTAAAATAACGACAGGTGAGTTTAGATCTGGGTGTTTCAGGTTTGAATCTAGGAGGATTTAACATTAATTTGGTAACATTAATGTTTAATCCTCCTATGTTTGAACTGATTGAGAGGAATACATGAAACCGAAGGGGGGAGGTAACAACAAGTGCACTATTTAGTGTCCAATTACAATTTGTTGGATTTAACCCAAACCTTTTCTATTTCACTTATTTTCAGCTGTTAAATTTCAAACGATACGTTTTAGCGACATCATTAACGTTATTATCATCATCGTCGTTTGAGTTTGGGTTTGCGGTAGGGATGGTCAAGTCTCGAAATTTCGGGAAATTTTTGGGAAATTTTAAATCTCGTTACACGAGACGAGATTTCTTTTTGGCCGAGATTTTTATCAAGACGAGAATAAAACAAAAAAAAAATAAAATAAAATAAAAACGCCTGCAGAAAGTCAATGCAATACCCGCAATACAGGAGCGTGTTGTAGTTGCGTTTCCTTTGCGAAGGCGTTCTTATTTAATTAATTCTTTAAATGTAAATATTACTTTAATTATTTTAATAATATTACTTTTGTGAAGTTTTGTTAAGTGTAAGCAGTGTGAGGAATGTTTGTATTACTATAAAAAGTCAAAACAAGTATATTTTATAAAAATTAATATTGCTTTTATTTTATG